CACCTTTGACGGCTGAGCAAAAAGGACAAAAGAAGCAAAAGCAACCTATCAAAGAGTTATACATAAATCTATTTTGCTGGCTTGCTGATTAGAAAGGCTAGGAAAGCCATCTGAAAGTGAGGGCCAATTCTCAACTGAGCGTCTTAGCTCAAATAATTAAACTTGCCCACCTAATGAAATGCTCCACTGTAACATCTATGAGGTTTTGGTGACTGACTGTAAAGCTGTCATTAAGAAATATTCTATATACAAAATGGGCTCCTAGTTGGCCCTCTGGTTATCTGTGCCCCAAGGTTTACTTGTGTAAGCAACAACAGTTGCTGAAACACATCAGGCACGACATCAAACCAGGGTGGGAAGAAGTGGCCAAAACAAGGAAAGCTACCTGACTTCCTAGCGCAGAAATGGTAACAGAAAACAATGCACCAAGAGACGATACTTTACAATACTGGCTTTGTACCACACTGCTGTTTCTCCAGTTGGTACCAGTCAGTGTCCCTGAGGATATATACCCATACTGGTAAAGAAGCCGAAGAAATGAAATGTGGGTAAATGGATCAGAAGTGTGAGTAGTTCCCCCTGCAGGCAAAAGTTCAATATCTTTTTCACAGTCACCAGTTTTTGATTCTGCTTTTTCTTATTCTTGGAATACATCTATTGCAGATTTTCAAAGAAGCCTCTGCTACCAGAACTGACCATTGCAGAGATAACTTTGGGGAACTCTTAAGATGACCTACGTGCATGTCCCACCCCTCAAACCTGACTGGACCAGAGTATTATGGTGCAAACCCCTGTGATTTCCTTGAAAGGTCTCTGGCGACGTGCCCTGAGGTGGAGCAAGCTGCTTTGCAACCTTGTCATCAGGAAATTGAAACGTCTACTGTCCTGGGGCCTGTTCAGTGAGATGAGATCAAGACACCATAGGCTAAGCAAGGGTCCAGGACATCACAGGCTACTGCAACAGACAGCGTGACATATCGGCCAGAGACGACATCGCCTTGTTCCCCTGAACTGCAGTCCTGACCTTGATGCTCCGAGGACCGCGCAAGCTAACAATTCAATTTTTTAAATGGCTTTTTATTTTTAATTGCTCTTTTGTTTTGATTTTTTTGTAGCATGACAGGAACACTTGCCTATCTGCTAACTTTGAATGATCATTTCTGAGGTGTAAATGATGGTGTAGGTGTGGGTGGGTCTGTGTGAGAGAGAGAGACCGTATGCAAAGTAATAATCGTGTATCCAAGTTTCTAGGTGCTGCATCCTCGTTGGTAAGGTTCGCTGTTCAAAGTAGATTGAAACGGATGTGGATGTGACCGCCTGTGCCATCAGCTTTCTATGCAGTGTAGAAATACCTTCATCGTCCTTGTCACAAAACTCTGTGTGTGTGCACATGTATGAGTGGTATGTGTGTGTGTGTGCACTAAGCTGCCGAAATACAAAAGTGCAGAGCTGTGAGCCATTTTGTATTGGAAATTTGAAAAGAAATATGAGTTAATTGTATATGCTGCCCAGTTACTTTGAAGGGTCTAGCCACTGTCCCAGGAGGCTGGGAAGAAGGCTTCACTTCTGAGCATGCTGGGGTTAGTTTTTTTCATGAGAATCAGTCAAAAGTAACTTGACAGTCTAAATCTTGTGGGTGTTCAGTGAATGATTTCATTTTATTTTTCTTTTTTTATGGAAAGAGAAGAATGATTACACTGGAGGGGCAAAACTGGTTCTCAGATAATGGATGAATGACTTCAGTATCAATGCTCAGACAACAGAGATTATAAGTATGTCTAAACTGCAGGAATTGCAACGTTACTGTAGGTGTGCTCAAGCGGGTTTTGACTTGACTAGTGGAAACGCTGCTAGCAACATAGCCACAAAGCCACCAAAGCAGCAAAGAGTTCAGCATCTGCAACCCCTTAGTCCCAGGGGGGCTCAGGAAATATGTGGGAGGTTAGCCCACAGGAAGCTCTTGGCTGCTATGGGTTATGGCTAGCAGTCCCCAAATTTAAAGCTAGCTCCGTGACTGCAGTTCAGACATACTTGTATACAAAGATAGCCCAGAATACGGGATCAAGTGATGGTGTAGACAGAGAGATTAGGGGAGTGAAGATAAAGCATGATGGAGGGAAAGACTGTCTCCTAAAGCCTCACAAATGTTAATCTGCTATTTCCGTCCCCCATCCCAAAGCAGCTGGGAATGTTTTTACCCTGTGTGCAACCTGCACTTCTTTGCTTCTGAGCTTTCATGCTGCAGGGCCAGAAATAGCTTGACTATTAATATTTAGAAGCTCGTTGCTGGCTCTCTGCCTGTGGTGTCTTCCTCTTTCTTGCACATATGTCTGCTGGTCTCTGATAAGGGCTCTTAGGAGAAGCTCAGTGGATGTGTATTCAGGGAAGCTCTTATGAAATAAGCTCTGGTGAAATGCTAAAGTGCAATTATGATTTTACTCTAACTCCCTGTGTGGATTTTCTTCTACAGCAGACTAAGCTAAGCCGCCCCAAGTACTTGGAGCGCAGAACTGGAACATCCGCATGCTACTGTGGGATGGCTGCACCTGGCTATTTTCTCAATAAAACATTGCATGCCCTGGGCAGACTCACAAGGAGGACTGCCCCGAGACTCATGCCTCTAGTGTCAACAGCTCTGGGATAGAAGTCAAGCAGAAACTAGGGCCCCTATATTCCCAGATTGTGAAATGATATAACATGTGGATGGCTCTAGACACTTACATTTCCCAGCTTTCCCAGCTCTAGGACAGACTTGCCAGATAGACTGCCTCTGAGCTAGGACCTTACTTGGGGAGCTACTGCCATATGGCGTGCCTTGAGCTTCTAGGGTCCCAAGTTGCAAGGCAGATGTGTCAGGGGACTGCTGTGGAGGTGGAGAAGCAGGGCCTTTTCAAGGTCCTTAATACTGGGGAAGGCAAGCCAGCGACTTCCCTGAAGCCAGGGATGGAGGGCTTCAGGCTCCTGCACTTCCATTACAGCTGGCTCCAGACAGACCTGCCTGCCTGTCAGGTTGCCCCAAAGTAACTGCCTTCTGACCCCTTAGAAGGACAACAGCAAGGGACAGAGATGTTTCCAGTGTCCCCAGTTCAAGTCACTGCCCTGGCACTAGGGATCCAGAGCCTCCAGGCTTCCTACACATAGGCCAGCACCCCCAGGAGGGGGCCTGGGACACCATTAGTGACTTCCAGAGTCTCTGGCTCCCCAGAAGACCACCAGAAACCACCAAAGACCTGTTTTCCACCTCAGGGTAGACCAGCAAAGTGGATGCTCATGAGCTGATGACTCCATGCCTCAAGATTCTCCAGCTTTGGTGCTGGCTCACCAGGTGAAATGCCCTGAGACCACACACCTGGAGCTCTCCATGGCCTCCAACTGGCCAGTGTTGGGGTCCATCTGCTTTCAGTATCTCCAGGTCTCAAGCAGAACTGTTAAGTGATGTGCTCCAGGGCAGGGAATGCCAGAATGAAGTACTGCCAGCTCCAGGATAATGTCACAGCTAGGACTACCCCCTCCAAGAGCCTGGAGCTCTCTGCCTCCTAGTTCTCCAGGTCAAGGACAACTCTACTTGGCAGACCTCCCTGGATCCAGGGTCACAATACCTCCAGAATTTCTAGCTCTATAGTAGACTCTTTAGTTGGACTGCTATGGAGCCAGAGACATTGCTGGATCCTATCTCGGATTTGGCAAAAGTTCATTGCACCTGAGATGTTTCAAAAGAAACATTTTGGGCTTAATGACATGGGGTTTTCCCAGTGAACCTTGTTTATCCAGAAAATTTCTGAGCAGCTCTAAGAACAACACCGTTGCCCTCTACCATGACAGAGGGCTACTACACAGGCCCAGGACACCTGTGGGAGCCAGAGTTTGCAAAAGGAAACCCTCTGAACTCTGAAAATGCCACCCTTAAGGTGGTCCATGTAAACTGGACTCTACCCTCTAATCCTGTGCTTTTCAAGGGGCTTTAACCAAAGAATTACTTACTGTCAGAGCTGGTTGCAGCATTTCCACCATGGGTTTTTTTTCCATAGAGAAAGAAGTTTTAACAAAATCCTATTATTTTGCTACTTGATCGGTTCTTTTCTATAGGTAAAACATTCACACTGACATGGTTTTCTCCTTTTCCCTTTCCCTATGACAGGGGGGCTGGACTCAATGATCTCGCGAGGTCCCTTCCAGCCTCTAACATCTATGAAATCTATGAAATGCAGTTTTTACTTTGACATTAAAAAAAAAAAATCAAATAATTCCATTTTCAGCTCGGAGACATTTTCTTTGCTTCACTCAGATACTTTCCTGACTCCCTATTTCTACCCCCTTCTTTTCCCTGAGACGTGGAGGTTAAGGTAAGTAATGGGTAGAAAGTAGAGGGGGAACACCCCCCTCAACTTCAAAAAGTGAGTTCCTCTGGGATTCCCTGCTCCAACTTTGTAGTGTCTGAAGGGCAGATTATCCAGGTCTATTTATCTAAACTCAAACTGACCCCCATGAGCTGGGTAGATGCTCTGCCTTTCTGCAGCATCTTTCACTTAAAAGTTTCCCAGGACCAGACCATACAGCTTTCATGGTGCTTCCAGGTGTGCTGGTCTCAAGCACTCACATCCACCTGTTCCAGCTCCTTGCGTGCCAGACCTGGGATGGGGGTCGGGAACCTGTGCTGAGGGCGCCCCCCGCCACTGCTCTCAAGCACACCAGAGACAAAGATCTCCAGAGCAGTACAGCTTGCCTGACTCCTTTCTGGGTCTGGCCAAGCAGAGCAGGAGCAGGTAGGCTGGGCACGCTTGAGACCAGCACCCGTGGGAGTGCTGGAGAAGCTGCATAGCTGGGTCCATCCCTTTGCAGAGTACTAACATTGGGGCTTTGAGTCTTTTAGACAGGCATGTCCAACACTTGGCTCTGTGGTTTCAGCAACATTATTCTGTGAACAAACTGGAGTTGTCTTTTTTTTAATGCTTTATGATTATATGAGGCCAAAGGGTAACACTATTTTCTGCCTTGCACAGAAATCCCCTTTCACTGCCAATCAGATTTAGCAAAAGACGATGAATACGTGCAGACGTGTTTGAATGGATTATACCAAGTAAGTCACATCATGCTTGTGCTTCATGCTGTTTTGTGGATGTGAAAAACATCGTTAAGTCCACACTTACCTTCATCTATGCCAGTCTGACCTGTGGATACTAGTGCACTGGACTGGGACACAGGAAATGTGCAGTCAGTATATTCCTCATTTTGCTGCTGGTTTGATGGGTGACCTCAGCCAAGTGTGACCTGTCACTTGATGGGCATCATGGGACCTGTGCGCCTCAGTTTCCCCATCTGCAAAATGGAGCTAATGATGCCACCCTCCTTTCTAAAGTGCTTTGAGCTTTGTTTATCTGCCACATGCTATAGAGTCTTTTCAATCTTCTGGGTGTTGTGACTTGCTGTTGCTTGTGACTGTTAGAAATAGCAGTTTGGGGAGTTCCTTGGGTAAGTGATTGCCTACGAACACATGGAACTAGATTAGCTTGTCCAGGGGGCCCCCTTGATAAAAAGTGCTACATGAGTGATGTATTAGTATCCTCTATTCCAAATGTCAATGGAAAGCACTGATTATTTTTCCCAGGAGTTTACTCTGTAGAGAGAAGCAGCAAGGGATGGTAGAGAGCCTAGAGATGCAGCATAGTTCTTACATAAAGAGTCTTTATGCCAGATCCTGAGTATATCACTGAAGATAGTTTCTTGGAGGTCAACTGATATGCATAAGCTTAGGATTTTACCTATTGGGTACAACTGGTCTTTCATTCATTAGCTGAATCCTAACACCAGACTTGCTCATCTTTGAAATATTTTCCAGATCCTGCCAGGAAGTAGGGAAGCCATGTTCTGCTCTCTGTTCAACACCACCTTGAAGATCTTTAAGGCTTCCTGTGGGAATACCAGCTCGACACCTACCCTGAAGGTCAGAAATGCTTGACTGGGAGCTAGATTTTCCAGTACTGGGGCACTCCTGTTTTGCCTGGGCCACAGCAGTGTCCTGAGTCTGATCCATTCGGAGCCTGTGTAGAGTGAAAACATCAGCCCTAGGAGATTCCCCCTGGAAAACTCAGTTTTAGTGATTAGGAAGGTGGACCTGGGGCAGAGGAAGGCTGGTGTTGTGGTTGGGATATTAATTTAAAACTTGGGACATGGAGTTCAAGGTCTTTTTCTACCACCAATGTCCTGTATGGCCTTGGACAAGTCGTTTGGGCACAGATTTTTAAAAGGATTTAGGTGCCCAATTCACATTAATTTCCAAGAGGGTAAGGTGCTTCTGTATGCTTCAAAATTTGATCCCTCTGTAAAATAGGGGAATAATGTTGAATTTCAGAGCTGGAGTCAATCTGGATTTAGATCCAACTGTCCCATACCGGAAGGAGATGCTTTGTGCATGTGTTTGTGTGTGTGCTTGCACATAAAGACATACAAAAAACTAGAACTCGTGGTTCCAAAATGATACCTTTTATTAGACCAACTGGAAAATGGCAAGAAAATTGTCCTTTTCTGCAAGCTTTCGGGATCAAAGTCCCTTCATCAGACTCTGGGAAAAGTGTAGATGGTACAAGATGGTAAAAAGTCCCATATGTGTTTATATATTTGCATTGTCCTATTGTGCCTAGGGTTGACAGGCTCAGTAACAGGGACTGGATGGGTACCATTGATTACATAGAGCAAGGGCAGATGAGGATCTAAATCCAGACTTGACTCCAGCTCTGAAAAGTATGTTATTTCCTCTTACAGAGGAATCAGATATTTAAGCATACAGAAGCACCTTACACTCTTGGAAATTAATGTGAATTGGGCACCTAAAAAACCTGTGCTCAAATGACTTGTCCAATGCCATACAGGACATCTGTGGTAGAGAAAGACCTTGAGCCCCATGTCCCAAGTTTTAAACTAATATCCCAGTCACAACACCAGCCTTCCTCTGCCCCAGGATGAGTACCATAGATTACTGGATGAGTACAGTGAAGAAATTGCCCTTTTCATCTGCCTCCCTACTCTGAGTCTGCCCAGCCCCCTTTGTTTCAAACTAGCTGCTGGATCCCCAAGGTCAAGCTAGGTGACTAGGTTGTGAAAATTCGATAGGGAGCGGGGTAATACAGGTATCTCCCACCAAGATACCTGTATGACCCTGCCCCCCTCCTCCACCTGAGGATGCTGATGACTGTTAAAAAGGATTGGTCTGCATCACGTAGCCCCTGCTTCTGATTGGGACATAGTGATGAGGTCACAAAAAGTTTTAAAAGAGGGTCACTCCATTTTGGGACACTGAAGCAAACAAAAAGGGCCTCCAGAGCTCCATCAGTCTCTGGATGAACAGGTGAGTAACTTAGCTGAAATTTAGCCAGTAACTTAAGATTCAGTGAACTAGAAGCATATCAAATGGGCCGACAAGGCCATTCTTATTTGTTCAAGTGAGTTTTCTATCAATTTTCCATTGTTTTATATTCCTTCCTCACTCTCTCCCTCTTTGATCAATAAAGCTATCTGTTATAGCATGCTTTGCTATGAATGCTTAGGAGTGTGGGACTAGCCTTTAAAGCCCCCTTTGACCAGCTGGCTAAAGTGGGCACGTCTTTTTACTTTCCTCTCACACAGGGGGCTTCTTGTTAATGCTTCAGGCTAAAAGGAAGCATCCCAAAATTTCACAGTGGGCAAAGCACCCCCAAGGTCTGCAGGGTCTGCGTACCCTGGGCTGCACAGAGCCCTAACAAAGACCCAGGCCTGGGTGGTGGCAGCGGTTACCCAAGGCATGTGAGTATGGTCCAGGAAGGGGGCTGGCCAGATGTAGGCACCCCAGGGAAGGCACCCAAAGCTTGGTTTTTGTTTGGGCACAGTGAGGCGGGTGTCTTGGCATAGGAGTGCCCCCTGCTGGCCTGCCACAAGTACCATAGATTACACAGAGATACTATGGCGACGGTTGCAATGGAAACTCAAGACAGCTTGAGGCTATCTTTCCATTCTGCACTTGCACAGCACTGAGGATAATGGAGTCCTCATTTATAAATAGGAGTTTTTGACACCTACTAACCTACATACAATAACTGGTCATAATAATTAGAACATAGCCAGAAACTGTAGTTGCAGTAGCATAATTCCCCACCTGGGCCCCATTGCAATAAATAAGACCAGCTGTAAAGCTCTTGCTCCATGTTCATGAAATCTCATTGCCAGGAATATAAGGATGTGATGTCCCCAGGGGAAGGCTCTTACCTGTGGAGTAAGCAGCCACATAGCAATACCCATGTTTATAGAGGCCGTGAGGCAAACTCTAATCACTTAACCTTGTAGAATACGGTGGCATCCTTTGACAAAGTCCTTGATGACATCTCCGTCAAGTCATTGGACAAAAAGGAAGTGGCTTCTGCTGCAACGCTGATTCTTCAGGGACTGAGTTCAGCTGCACTGGCGGCTGCCCTTGCCTCTCCAGAGAACCGAACCCAGACTGTGACTACTGACCAAATGGGTAGGAAATAAAGCTGGTGCCAGAGCCAGTGAAAATCATGTTGCAACTGGAAGCTTCCTACTGACTTAAGCAGACTTCCTATTGACTTAAGCCGAAAGTTTTGGGGTATTCAGATGAGGGGGTATGGTTAAATCTATCAAGCAAACAGATTTAAATCCAGACTTGACTCCAGCTCTGAGATCAGAAGCTAACTGTTTAATACTGGAGATAAATGCTGTGTGCAAGTGCTTGTGTGCATGCATGGACATGTGTGTGCATGTATTCACATTCTCCTCTTGCATCTGGGCTTGACAAGAATATCCTTCCCGTTTCTTACCCTGCCCTTTAAGGCTGTTACAGGAACAGAGATATTGTTGCTGTGAAGTTATTTAGAACAGGCACAGCTTTCTCTTTTGTATCTGCACAAAACCCATTTCTTTATTCCTTTATAGTGGTCCAGACCAAGCTTGTTGATGGGTACTGTGACTTGCAGACTAATTCTCTCAGACTTGACGCTCAAAAAGACACCATTGATATTCACTGCACTGACATCACTGAAGATGGGAAAGGTACTGCTGAGGTGTCCCAGCAGCTCATAAATCATGGTGGTGACCAGGCCTTGTAGCTCAGGCATATAGGGCAGAGTCTAGTGGTACCTATTTGGTGATCAGTTGGCTCTTAGTCTACTGCACTTTTAGCATCTTGTGTGGATGCACCCACAGAGTAAATCTATTGTGCATTAGTAGGTCATGGTGAAAGCCGTGCTAAAGTGCTAATGCGCAGTAGAATTAGTCTACTGCACGGTAGTGGCACTTAAAAGATGCATCGGTGCTACTGTGCAGTAGCTTCAATTACTGCGCATTAATGCACGTATAGATGTGCCCTGTGAACAGTGCTATGTGGTTCATGCGATTCCTTGGGGGATAATTTACTGCCCATTGGCATTAAGTGGCGTAAGCAATGATGTTGATCCTATAGGTGTAACAGAATCTAACCCATTGCATAAGACTGGCCACACCTTGCTATTGACTTAGTAAAATGTCATTCAATAATGAAATGAGTGTTTCCATGTTTGTGGCTTCTTCTGGTGTTAATCCTCCGACATTACTAGACCTTGCCCATCACTCTCAATATTGATTGATTCCCCAGGAACAGGTCCAGACTTTTCACTCCTTAGAAGGCCTTTACTTTCTGTTCCCTTTAAGACCCAGGCCCTAAAATTCCCCACTGAGTTTTTACTTCATGCTTGTTAGGAGAGGGAAAAACACCCAAACCGCATTGACTTCAATGCAAATTGACCCAGCTAAGAATTAAGTATTTTGAAACATGTTGCATGAGAATGAGCTTCCCTTGAGAAAGATCAAAAGTCCATCACAGTCAATGGAAAACTCATTAGGATCTAGCTCAGGCCATTAATGGGTTTTTTCTATGAAAATTCTAATTTCCTTTTTTCTAGTGAACATGTAAATGTATCTTCATAAGAAGAAAATGACCAGATATTAAAGAGCTTCTTGATGTAGCAGAGAAAGACAAGGCAAGAATCAAAGGCTGGATGTTAAATCCAGTCACATTCAAATTAGAAAGAATACATTGGGTTTTTTTTAACAATGAGGGGATTTAATCCCCCAAACTATCAGCGGACTCTCTTGATTCTCAGCTGCTTTTGAGGCTTTCAGTTCAAGATTGCCTGACTTCCTAGAAGATGTACTTGATTTAGCCACAAGTTATTGGGCACAGTCTAGCTTAACAGGGTGAAATTCCCTAGTCAGTGCTATGCAGGATGTCAAACCTGATGATCTAATGGCCCCTGTTGTCCTTAAATCCACAAATAGATCCATCGGCATTGTCTTCTATACGCCCAGTCATTTTAGGTGCTGAGTGTCCGCTGCACTGTGTGGGATTCCAGCTACTACTGAAGTTAACAGCAATTTTGAGTGGTCTGAACCTTGGGGAGACTTGGGTATCTTCTTACTGAGAAGTAGTGGAAAATCCCCCTTGGTTTTTTTTCCATATAAAAAAGGCTTTTTCAATTAAATGGAATCTTTAGGAAAAAATAGTTTGGTTGAAAATGTTTATTGATTAACGAAAACACATCCATTTTTAAAAGATGTAGGTGTCCAATTATCATTTTTGTTAAAAAAAAAAAATCCAAATTTTTTTTTTTCCAAATAACCTCATGATTTCCTCTTCCCCATCTCACTTCCACCCATGCTCATACTTGCAGGTTCTGCTGCTGTGGCTTTTATATCCTACACGGATCTGGCGTCAGTTCTGGGAATACAGTTTTTTCAGGAGAAAGCTCTGCAGAGGGAAGAGTATGCTCATATAAACTCTCGAGTGGTGAGCGCCACTAGCAGCACACAGAGAAGAAACGTTACCAATCCTGTCAACCTCACCTTCCGTCATAATACGGTAAGCAACCTAGTGTGACTCAGGACCAGAGAAGTCATGATCAACCTAGCTCATCTGCTCCATTCCTATGCATGGCATATTAATAACTGAAACCAGGCCTGTCTACCCAATCCCTCAGGGAACCCTGAGCGATTTTTGATTTAGGTCCCCATCTAGATGGGACCTCTGTCTTAGACCTTTTTTAAATGCATGCTGACACAGGCCACTCAGAGCAGTGGTAGGTTTTGGCAAGATTATCTGTTTATCTGGGGCCTGCTCATGCTCCACGTTGGGGAACGGCTATGAAAATGGGGAAGCTACTGGAGAAGTACCCAGGGGAAGTAAATTCAGCCCAGAAATGAAAGGGGCAGCAGGTGCTGGGATCCCACTGACATGGCTTTATTAGGTAGTAGAAGCCACTTGGCCTTGCAAGCCATAGGACTCCCTGTGCAAAGTGGATCATGGACTGCCTTGCCTGGCATGGAAAGGTGGAGGGTGTGGCTGGCGTAGTGGGCTTAGGGAATCTCTCCTCCATGAGATTGGAAGCAAAAAAAAAATGGAGATTGGTTTCCAGTGTCCTTATCTTCACAATCTATTTTAGCCTCTTGCTAGGTCAAGAGTCTCTCCTGCCACACTTCTGCATGCTGTCTCCCTCAACCCAGTACCCCATGGGGCTGCTGCCTGACAGGGGTCTGGGTGAGCTCAGGCCCCATCCCTTTTCTAGGTCCTTGAAGCTGTTCTCTAGAGAAGCACTTCCAACCCTTTCCCCCTCTTCAGCCTGTCTGCCTGTCTTCCCCTCCCTTCCTGCCCCATCCCCGGGGATCTAGGAGAAGGTGGCAACCTTCCTCTTGGTGGATTTCCTGGGGTAGGAGGTATCCGTTGGGTTGGGTGCACTTACTTTTTGATATTAATATGAAAATTCAAATTCTGGAGAAGGGGCTAAGCCAAACATCCTGCATCTCTAGGGCTGGGCTGCAAGGTCAAAACTCTCCCTGCCCTCAGGCAGCCCATTGGGCCACTGTGGCTAGACACACAAACGTCTGTTCTCCATGGCAGGATATGGCTCATACCACAAAATGGTCCTAGCCCAAATGACCAGGTGTCCACATACAGCTGGACTGGCAGGGAGTGACCTTCAGTGGAGATCTGAAGCAAGGGTTGAACCTTTGTCTCTGATGCCTTACCTACTTTCACACCATACCCCTTTTGGCTGCATACTAGTACAGCTCAAATTCACTCCTGTCAGGTCTTAACTGATCCTAGCAGATACATTTGGCTTTGCTTCCTATTCTTCTCTCTCTCCTGATGCTTGTTCACCCCTGCGATACTTTTTCCTGCCTAAGTTTTAGCCTCCTCAGACCACAGCACATTTGAATGCCTGGAAAACAGGAACTGATACGACTTAAAGGGCAGGACACCTACTGGGGTTTAGAAAGCCTTCAGGGTGTATCATGCTTTTAAATGTGACCTCTAACAGGTTGGTTAGTTGCTCTGTGCCTTGTTTTTGCTCTTTGAAAAAAAGATATTAATGTTCAACTGAGATCCTTAAATACAAATTATTTATGGTGCTTTAAAATGATATATTCATGTATTTGCCCATCATCTGGACCCCAGAGCCATAAGAAGGCAGCTGGGTGCCCAGGACAGCCTGATACACGAGGGCGGTGGTGACTTCCAGCTGCCACCATGCGACTGGTACAGTTATGCAGTGGCAGTGGCAGATATTAGTTTTGCACCCTTTTCCCCGTCCCCCCAAGTTGGCAACTGGATCTGCCCTGCCTTCGTTATGCTGCTGCTGCAACCAGTGCCACAGTGTGCTGAGATGTAAGCTTTAATGAAGGTACATCATACTAGCTCCCTGCTTCTTCTGGCTGCAATTAGCTCTTAGTGGAGTCATGCTCTTCCATCACCTGAAAATAGGGACATAGCTGAAGGTCTCAGCAAATCCTAGGAATGTATATTCAGCTGCAGCAGGTCAGACCAGGCATCCATTAATACAGCCTAACATCTGCTAACTGTAGTCATTTGCATCATAGTGTACATTGTGGGTAGAGCCCCTTCCCCCTTTACCCAAAGTCACTGCTTCTGCAGTCCCCTGGCTGGGAATCCATGCTCTTAGTTTATATCCTGGACTGGACTCGCAGACCCTTTCTGTGCTGTGTTCCTGAAGTCAGTATTTTCCTAAAGGTTCCTCTTTCATTTAATTGAGTCTCACCCGCCTTTCTGTCTCTGATTGAAAATCCTTGCAGGACATGTTCCCCCAGGACGAAGTCATCTGTGTCCACTGGAACTCAGAAGGCTCGAATGGTACCTGGTCCTCCCAGGGCTGCCAACGTCTTCAGTCCAACATCACTCACTCACAGTGCAGCTGTTACTACCTGGCCAGCTTTGCAATACTGATGTCACCTAGTCCCATAAAGGTATTGGAGGTCTTTGGGCTTGGCTTCAGGTGTCTTTGGAAGCACCAGTCCACAGATTGCTGGGCACTCTGCTTTGCATGCCGTTGCTTTGGTTGAGGCAGCACATAGGCCTGTTGAAATCCATGATGTGATTCAGGTTATCTGCTTTGGTGGAGTCCTGTCTATTTTCGAGTGTCCTGGTTTCCTGAACATAGAAACTAACAAACAGCCGTCAGATATCCCCAAGTGTGACACTTCTGCAAGCTCTGCATACAAGAAGCTCTGTCCCCCTGCTGCCTCTCAGGATCATGCGCACAACTGCTTCTCGAGGCTTTTGCCTCTAACCCACAACAGGTTGTGAAACTAGTGTCTGAGGCCCTCCATTTGCACTGTGGGAAACCCTTCAATCCCAAGGGAGGAAATGGGTTATGAACTGCCAAGTTTGGTGCATTGCTGGTGTTGCTGCTAGACTAAGGGTTAGCATACGCCCTTCAGAAAGACAGGACTGCCTAGTGTTTAGAGCATTTATGGTCCTGTTTGAGTAGCTCAGGCTTTTTGTGTGACCCAGGCAAGTTGCTTAAACATTATAAGAATCATAAAAAATAAAGGCTGGCAGGGACCTCAGGAGGTCACAACTAGTCCATACCTCTGCTCAAAAAGCAGGACCATCCCCAACTAGATTATCCCAGCCAAGGCTTTGTCTACACGGGTCTTAAAAACCTCCAAGGATGGATATTCTACAACCTCTCTGGGTAACCTGTTCCAGTGCTTTACTACTCTCTTTGGGAGAAAGTTTTTCTTAATATCCAACCTAACCCCCACCTTGCTGCAACTTGAGCCCATTGCTCCTTGTTCTGTCATCCACCACCACTGAGAAGAGTCCAGTTGCATCCTCTTTTGAAACCCCCTTCAGGTAGTTGAAGGCTGTTATTAGATGCCCCATCAGTCTTCTCTTTTCCAGACTAAATAAGCCCAGTTCCCTCAACCTTTCCTTAGAAGCTATGTGCCCCAGTCCCCTAACTATTTTCATTGCCCTCTACTGGACTCTCTCCAACTTGTCCACATCCTTTCTGGAGTGGGGGGCCCAAAACTGGACACACTACTCCAGATGTGGCCTCACCAGTGCCAAATAGAGGGGAATAATCACTTCCCTCAATCTGTTGGCAACACACCTACCAGTGCAGCCCAGGATGCCATTAGCCTTCTTTGTAACAAGGGCACACTGTTGGTTCATATTCAGCTTATTGTCCACTGTCACGCCCAGGTCCTTTTCTGCAGAGCTGCTGCTTTCCCAGTCGGTTTCCAGCCTGTCCTGGGCCCATCTCTAAAATGGGGCTAATAGCATTTCCCTGCCTCCCAGACAGGCTGTGAGGATAAATATATTTAAAAACAAATGCTTAGATGCTATAGTAATGTGGGACAGAAAATGATTTAAAGAAAAAAGGATTTTACAGGGGCTATTTTATTTATTTATTTTTATTAATAGTTGCAACACAGATTCCACAGGCTTTCCCCATATTTACATGAAGAAATAATTGTCTTAACTTGGATACTACTTCATGGTTACTGCTAGCTAACGCTACCTTCTTAATGGCTACTATTCCACAGCCAACGGTCATCCTGAATGTGTCATCTGTTTTATATTGGTTGATCTAGTTCCTTTTAAAATGGGAATGAAGAAAGATTTGGCAATGAGGGTTATCTGTGCAAGGAGAATGGCCTGAAAAATAACCATGTTATCCTCAGTACCGGTCTTTATGGCTTAACTAGGTGCTTCACTTGAAAACATATCTGTTTCCAGTCCATAAATAGCAATGTGAAGGGAAATGATAGTTCAGTGTTAAACCACAAGACCTTAAAATGTAGATTGAGGCTGGAAAGTCACCAAGTGCAAAGGACACCGTGTTAGCAGTCAGTTCTGGAAGTGATGTGATGAGCTGCTGAGTTAGGCAAGCAAGTTAGCAATCAGAAGGGCAGGGTTGGCATCTCACTCTCTGATAGGGACTGTGTCACCTCTAAGCCAGTCACTCCCCCCTTGTGTTTCCCTTCCCACCCTTTGTCTTATCTATTTAGATTACTAACTCTCCAGAGCAGGCATTGTCTCTTCCCATCTATCTGTAGAGCGCCTAGCACCATGGGACACTGATCTTAGTTGAGATTTCTAAGTGGCATTATAAGAGAAATAAGAATAGTCTCTTTTCCCTGTGTATTAAAATAAGGTTTTGCAGCTCCTCACTCCTGAATTAGTCCTGCAAAGTCAATGCAGTCAGGGGGTGTAAACAAAACGTGTTTCTCATTCCTGCATCAGCCGCAGACCAGATATCTAAATTCCAGCTGCAAAAGTGCAAGCGATGGTTGTGCCAGGTAGAACCTACCCAGGCTTCTTGATGCCAAGCCAAGTCCATAGGGATCTTGTTAAAGAAATGTTTATTTTGACCTGCAAACTGAGCAGGTGAATTATCCTTCACTGAGCCCTGTGGTGCTGTGCCTAGGCTGCTAGCAGCCCCCAAGCTAGCTAGCTTAACGCTAGCGGAGATTTCAGTCAACCATGCTGATATCAGTTCTGTAGCTGCAGTGTGGATATATCCAGACACACGAGGCACAGCTATTTTCAAATAGCAGAACCACACTTTAGTCAAGACCAGTTATCAGACAGGGATGCTTATTCTGGGGTCCTTTCACAATATAAACCATGAACATGTGAAAATGCAAACAATGCCCATTGCACAGCTGGCATAATTGAAAACCTGATCAACAACCTGTCGGGACTGTGAAATCCTGTTTTAATTACTGGGGATAAAGATCACTGCAGTAACCGGTAGATCATCAGTCTTTATGTTGTCTTACATCTATATTATAATTGTAAATGTTTTACCACAAGGCATGTTGAAATGTGGACCTGGTTCTGGGATCTAGTGCATATCCCCACTGGAGGGCACTGTAACATAGGAAAACTTGAAGCAAAGGATGAGCTGAGCAAAGCTGGCAAAGAGATAAATGCCTCTGAAGGCAGTTAACATGCTACATGAGGCCAGGGCCCTGATCATTCTCATGACACACACACTACTGTATTTAATAATCTGGGGAAATCCCTTGCCATTCTGCCATTAAATAAAGCAAACAATGAGTCAGATCCTCAGCTGATGTAAAGCAGCATAGTTCCATTGAACACTAAGAAGGCAGTAGAAGTATGGGAATTAACATCAGCTAAGGATCTGGACTTATAAATGAATTGCAAATAGATGGATAAACTGTACTAATGACTCATGGTGTATTCCCTCCCAAGAGACCTGAGCAAAGTACTGTGAAATGAACCACTGCCTTGTATACTATATTCCTTGCTTCTGGGTGGAATAGCACACATGACATGACTTGCTGAGCCACTCCAGCTGGTCAGAATCTCATGGGATCCTTCCTAATTTAGATCATGGCTATTGTGTCTGTGTAACAGAAATGGGGAAGGCTGGGGTTTAAAGAAATTATCATTTGTTTCAGACAGCATGTTGAAAGAAATGATTCCCTCGCTCTTAAATTGCAGCTGACTCCAGGGTGGAATGCATCTCTGCAAATCAGTCAAACTTCAGTGCCAAAACCCAAGTCTCTGTCACTTTAGCTAAAGGGAAAAACTATAGCTAGCCTTATAACGGGCACCTGATTCACTCTGTGGGTAACCAATAAGCTGCGAGATGGCTACCTCTTGCATCTACACCAGGATGCAGTAGGCTCTCTGGCAAGCTAGGATATGGCTACCTCATGCATCTACATCAAGATGCAGTAGGCTCTCCAGCAAGCTAGGATCATGGGCACTGAAGATCCTTGATCCCCAGGGAGGTCAATGGGAAACGGATGCAAGTGAGTGGCAAGAAGGCCCAGGATCTGACTTCAACTCTTCTTTGTCACAGGCCAGTGTTGCCCTCTCTATTATCAGCTACGCTGGGCTGATGATCTCCCTGATCTGCCTCATCCTGGCTATCGTTACCTTCCTCTTCTCTCACACCGTCAAGAATACCAGCAGCAACTTCATCCACCTGCAGCTGAGCATTTTCCTCTTCCTGGCTGATATTATCTTCTTAGCAGGAGTAAACCAAACTTACATCAAGGTACAATAGGCAGGCTTCCCCAGAGCACAGGTCTGGCCATGGTGTCTTCCCCAGTTGAGGATGAGCTCCCAGCTGGGCCACTTTATACCAGAGTATTCTCCACTGATGTCAGGAGACTTTCTCCTGATTTACCCCAGGTGGGTGAAGGAGGAATTGGGCTGGTTACAGTTTTCCTTCCAACCCCACGGCTTCAGTGAGTTCAGCGGACTTGGGCTGACATTGGGCTGGGTTTCCCCTTGGAGTTGATTCCATTGCAATGCAGACCTCAGCAGGTGGGAACCTGGATGAAACAAGGCCAGACCCAAAGTCTGCTCTGATCCCTGTGAGCCAACTTGCCAAATTTCATGTGTCCCCACGTGTGGCCAGTTTTAGACTGGTGGAATATTTTCCTAGCCAGGTGGTTGGTAGCCGGCCAGTATGGGAGGAAGTGAACTCTTCCCTTCAGACAAACCCACACTGACCTCTCATTCCTCCTCCAGCTCCTGTGTTCCATAATTGCCGGTGTTCTGCATTATCTCTTCCTGGCTTGTTTTGCTTGGATGTTCATGGAAGGAGTGAATCTTTGCCTCATTGTCAGGAACCTGAAGGTTGCAAATTATGCTGGTGCTGGCAGACACATGAAGATATGCATGTATGCCTTTGGCTATGGATTCCCTGCTGTGATTGTGATGATCTCTGCAATCAGTTTCCCAAGTGGTTATGGAACTCCTTATCAGTAGGTGCTGGGTTCAAGGGTGTGGAGGGGACCTTTGTCCTGGCACAGGGGAGCCTTTGCACATTACAGTTGCAGTCAGCAGGCTTCCTCCTCTGCCTGCTGTGATCTAACGCCTCTGCTGGGCTGACATGGATTGCAGACTGAAAACAGACAATGCATTATGTTTCTTGCACTCCATACAGGTGGTAAATGCTGACCTAAGACACTTCTTTGACAGGAAGCTTCCTGTGAGCTCATAGCATTATTCCAGTTTCCCCTTCCTCGCACTATGTCCTAGGCCTCTGATCTCCAAATACTCCCATCCTGGGGCACCATTTCTCCCTCATGTCTAAGATCCGAACTTCCCACTCTGAATCCAAGCAGGTTGTTCTCTCCATTAATGGAAATTTCTCCCTTTGTCCCAGGCTAAGAATGCATTGCCTGGTTTTTTCCGGCCTCTGCTTGATAACCAATGTACCCATCCAGAAACCATCAGACCCACTGCCTCTTTCAGGATTTGGAAGCAATGGGCCCTGGATATTTTTACCAGGACTCAGTCCCACTCCATGTGAAGCATACAAGCTTCTAAAACGTTTAATTCCCCACTTCACACCTGGGATTCCTCTGATTCTGGTGTCTGACCTTACTCCAGGTGTAACCCCCACTAGCTTAGACGGAGGATGAGCATACAAGGTAGTGCCTGTGCCACCAACTTCTATCGTAATGGTATCCACTGTCCAGGCAGCCAAGTTAGGCAGTAAAGTCTGTACCTTGTGTTCAATACCTGAGTTTTACCAATGGGACTTCTCTCTTTCTCTTTAGCTGCTGGCTGAGGCTTGATAGCAATTTTAAATGGAGTTTCCTTGGACCAGTCTGCACCATAATTATGGTGGGTACAATCGAGTCTGGGGATCCCAGAGCAGCAGGGCCTATGAGTCTCAAGATAATCTAGCACAGAAAAGAATAGAGAAAGTATGGGCCCAAAGTGGATTCATTAGTAGCCATCAGGACTGGAGCTCCCTGGCTTTGGAGTCTTGTTCTGCAAACCGAAAAAACCTGGCCAATGGGATTTTGCAAAGTATAGCTATTTTCCCTCCCTTTCTCATATCCATCTCCAGTGCAATTAGCCTAGTCCCCAAACAACATCAGGCTGCCTCACCAAGGCTTACAGTGATAAACATTAAAAGGAGACAAATGTCTTGAAAGAGGGAAGCAGCACTGGAGAGCTGGGAACAAACTATGATGCATCACACAAATTACAAGGCTGTTTGGAGCCCTCAGACCGATTCTCCCTTCACACAAGAAGTACACTGGTATGCCCTGCCAGTCTTCAGTGGAGAATTGGTCCCAGTGGCATTACTCCTGATTTACACCAGGCTGAGAGAGAATAGAATTGGGACCTCTGTATATTTTGTATTCACTCATGGTCATTATAGCCTCATGAATCCATTCTTGGGCCTGTTTTCAAAGGACTTGGGCTGGGCCAGCCTAATGGTGGGACTTCAGGGTAGGGCTGAGGCACCTTGTTCTGTGGTCCGAAATCACTGGCCAAAACCTCCAGCAGAAGTGTCCATCTCCATATCCCGACCCATGAGCCCCCAGCCAGTGTCCTTGGGCTTAAGTCACTGAAGTCGAATCAGGAGCTAGGCCATCGTACAGCTGACTGTGTGCCAGAGCGGGGAGATCAAGTGCACTGTGCTCCTCCAGGTGGGCCGCTTACACAGCTGTGTCTGTGTGGCACCATGGGCAGGCTAATTAGCAGGGAGAAAGTGGCACTTTGCCCTAGTGATATTCATTGGCCTGCTGAAGGCACTGCCCGGATGTGGCTACATTATTTCTTGTTTAAGAAGCAGCCTGCCCCGAGCAGGGCAGCATGTGAGGGCACCTCTTGGGACTACAGTAAGCTTGCTGGGTAGATGTCTCCATGAGAGGCTAGGTCTTCCATTTCATTTAACATTCATCAGACTTTTTTTTTTCTTTTACAGACAAATTTTGGTCTTTTCTGCGTTACTCTGATAATTTTGCAAGGGCACCTTTCCTCCCTCAATACAGAGTTATCTACTGTGAAGAATACCAGGCAAGGTTCAGGGGAGAGAAATTGGGCATCTCTGCATGTTTACCTGGCCCCTTTCAGTGTAGTCAGTCACCACCAAAGCTATGTACTAATCACGTTCCCTTCACGACACCCAGGGGAGGCGTGGAAACACTCAGCCCATCTTACAGGGGTATTATCCAGGGGCCCTGGCAGACATTACACTGATGGTATGGTTAATGTGTTACTCACACTATAAAAAGTAACCCTGCCACACATTCACTCAATTAACTGTGCAATAAAATGAGAAACCAGCCACAAAGATGGTTCCCATATAATGCAGAGCCTCTTTGGGGCTGATTTGCATTGCACCTTAAATTGAATGTGTGGCACCCCAGGCTGCCCCACACCATCCGGACACTTCCCATGCTGACAATTGACCAGTCAGCCAATTGTCAGCACTGGGAGGGGAGCTAGCTCTGGTTAGCTGGGAACACCAGGCTATCCTGTCTTCATGCTAATAATCAGCTGATTATCATCAGGGCACCTCAGAGTATCCAATTGGAGCTGCACAGGGGTCTGCAACTGTGGGTGGGGGAGCTGATCATTCCCCCTGCTCCCCAGACAGCAAGTTCAAAGCTGAGCATTGGGGACTTGCCCCTCTGTGGCACTTGCAGAGCCAGGCAACCACAGCCCTACATGCAGGGCTGCCAATGCTTGACTGTGAACTTCCTAGTTCAGGTGGTCCCAGACTACCTACTCTGGCAATTAGAAAGGGTATCATTGTGATCTGACCCCAGATCCCAACATCATATGTTGTGCTATACATGTGTTGCATGGCATGGCAAGGATGGGTAGGTGTTGAGATCCGGGATCAGATCCCATCATGCTATTAAATGAACATCTGCCAGGGGTCTGAGATGCAGAAAGATCACATGACTTGCTAACAGTCCATAAGGCATACGTAGCAGATCCAGGAACTGAACTGAAGTCTCCTCAAACCACTTCAGTCACTCTCCTTCCTCGATGCTGGGGATTTAACTGACCTGTCTCGTTGCCCCATTACCAACCTGCACACACCTGCAAATCCCATTAGCAGTAGCAGCCTCTTTCACTGATCCTTACTGAACACTGAGGAGGAGCAGGATACATATTCAAGGAGCCCCTACAGCGGGGACCCTGGGGGGAGATTGCTTTCAGATTGCAGCTTGCCCTCCTGTCTGGTGCTATCCCACCCACCTTCACTGCTGATGTTTCCCCTGTTTCAGATTATTGACATTCAAAGCACTGGCTCATCTCTTCATCATGGGCATCACTTGGGTGCTGGGTCTTTTCCAGTTTGGGGTGCTGGCTGATTTCATGGCATACCTCTTCACCATCGTCAACAGCATCCAGGGAGCTTTCATCTTCCTTGTGCACTGCCTGCTCAATAGAAAGGTGATCACCCAGCCCAGAGGCAGCAGCAGAGGCTGGGCCTGAACTTTCCCTGGGGATGACAAGAGGGGTGGGAAAGGGAGAACAATCCAGTGTTGTGAGGCAGAACAAGGACGGATCTCAGGCTCCAACCTTTGCGTGTTTTAAGAGGCTGACACTACTTGAGATGGCGACAGGCCTCCTCTCCTGATTTCAGGAACGTTGGTATGGGGTCCTCCATGGCGTGTTCATACCTTCTAGATCTTCCTGTGATTATTTCAGCAGGAAGGTGGCGGGGAGTGTGACTGAGCTTGATGTGTTTAGGAATTGCTTTATGCATCCCTAAAATTCATCCACCTCTGGGACCACAGTATGAGAGCCGTTCAGCATCATACACTAACTCAACACAGCTGTTGAGCCCTGAGACAACTGGTCTGGATCCTTTGTGGGGAAATTAAGATTGGTCCAGTGAAGCCCAATATCAGCTGAGGATCTAGCCCACAGAATAGAATAAAAGATCGCAGGAGAATAGGACTGGAAGGCGTTACAGATGGTCACCTCATCCAACTCCCCACGCAAGGTGGTCATGCGCAGAATTGGCAATGTTGGGATTTAGTCAGCAGGCCAGGTTGAACACTTTGCTTTTGCTGCGGGACTCTGAGCATCAAGATACAGTCAGGGGTTTATGCTTAATCCATGTCAAGATCCCGTTAGTGACTGTGGGCTTGCATTCCCCAGGTGAGAGAGGAGTATTGGAACTGGTGTAAGAAGTGTCGTCCATATGCAAAAGGAAAGACTTCAATCTCTGAGGTTTCTATGGTCACCCTCCCGTCCAGCGCTATCACGGTAAGACAGCAGAGATTCATGGCTTTAGGGAACCAACAACGATGTTGTAATTTCAATTATTCCACCTCTCTCTCTGTGTTGCTCGTCTGTGGATGTTAAACTTGTGGCCTGCAGGCCGTATCCAACCCAAGGAGCCAGGTCATCCGAGCCAAAGGACTTTTACTCCAGCTCTGGCCATGGTATAGCAGTGTTTCTGCCTCTTGCTAGGACTCTGGTTACTACTGCCACCACGGTATGAGATGGGTTTCTGGCCACAATGGTAGGACTTCCACTTGCTGCTGGGGATGCCTGCATGAGAGTTGGGTTGTGACCTGCAGGCACCTGAAAAGCAGGGAATGTGGCTCTCCAGCCAACCTGAGTTTGATACCCCTGCAGTAGCACTCTCAGTGAGATATTGCAAGCAACACCAAAGCTTGTGCAATTAATCTCTCAGGTGTCTTTGCCAAAGGATAGAGTCTCATGCCAGTAATGCTGGGTCCCAGAGAGTAGGATTAGCTGGTTTCACTGGTGGAGCTGATTGTAAAATTCAGGGGGGAATTTGCAATTTTAGCAGTAAGTTGTCATAATTTTGAAACTTTGCTAAATTTGGGATCAATCTACACAGCATCCCTTATGCTCTCAAGGCCGTGGCCAAAAAAGCCCCACCTACTTGCTCTGCTCTCATGTTTCCCATGTGGAAATGTGGCGGTGGACGTGCTCTGGGACTGCTCTGCTCTCAGTTTGGAAACCCTGGTCTCCAGAGCACCCGAGAGCAGTGCCAGGAGTGTCCCCAGAGCACCTTCACCACTGCATTTCTGGGTTTGGTGCTCACAAGTGGGAGCCACTGGACAAGTCTGTGTTCTTTGACCATAGCCTTGAGAGCATTGCGGTGCAGGGAAGAGATGCCATTGGATACTCAAATGGCTGGTTTAATAAATACATAAGAAAAAGGAACACATGCTATGCAAAAGATTTTGTGCGTGTCCATGACAACTTTCTATAAAAACAAAACAAAAAAATCCATCAAGATTTTCAGGACTTCTGGAAATGTACTTCATCACTGGTCTCAATGGTTGTTCTCTTGCATTCTGAATGCTACAAGTAGCTGTTCAGTGGCACGGGAGACTAGAAAAGCCAGGTGCTCGCTCTGATGTCTGTTCTGTGATGCTTCTATGTAAAAGCTGACCTCAACATTTGACATACCTATTTCAATGGCCTATCTTAAGCTTCATATCCTTTTCTTTCTATTGCAGGACGTTCTGCAAAAGACCTACCCATCTGAGAATAAGAAGATGCAATGGGAGTAATCTCCATGTCTTTTTGCCTTCCCTAGTCTGACGCAGTGGAAGTAGGATGGCAGACTCTGTGTGTCTGATTCCCTTAAAGCTCCTGCATCACCAAAGAATTTCTCTGTTCTCCAACCTTTGAGTGATAATGCCTTGAGATGGTGGATGTAGAGCCATCAGGCAAAGCTATGCGGCTTCATGAGACGGGAGCTATGAAGTCCGGATTCCCCAACCTTTCCCCTGTGCAGAAGGAGTTTAGTTCAGGTTTATCTTGAGGAGGACCTGCATGCATTCCTTACAGCTTAATTCAACCAGGTTCTTCTTGGCCTAATTTTGAACCTTCTCTTGAAATTAGTCCTCTGGTATTTCCTAGACATTTTCCTCAAGGCACGGATTTTAATCCAGAATCAGATTTTCTATGTCTTGACATTCACAGTGATATGTGAGATCTGAGGGGTGGCGGCAGGGATGATCTTTTGTTCTTTGCTTTACAGAATACTTTCTACTTCTCATTTCAGTGCCCATTGCTTTGTTGTTAGTATGTCAGATCTAGGATCCAGGCACTTTCAGTGGGTGATGGACAATAGACAGATACACCACGTGAAGTGTTTCCATTAAAACTGCCCTGGTTTCTATTGCTCGAATACTGAAATTTCCCAGGTCTAAAAAATAATTCCTCATAGTCTGAGAGAGGAAAAAAAGATACTTTCTATAGCTTTATTTGAGAAACCACTTTTGATCATGGAATCAAATTTGTTCCCTGGGGGTAACTGAGGGAGGAGCGGTCACAGCAAGGTTTGTGTGTACAACCATAACTGTGGTATTCCCTGACTTCCATTGGGAGGGCTGGAAGTAGCTTGTCTTGGTGTCACTTTTTGTTTTAAAATGTCAGCAGTGATGAATAGCACCTTACTTCAAGGGAAGTCTCAAAGATGAAGGATGGTCCAGCGAGTGGATGCTAACTCAAGTTCAGTCCCCACCCCATCACAGACTTCCTTTGTGAGCTGGGACAAATCATGAAGCATCTTTCTGCCTCCATCACACACTGTCGCTGTGGATGATGGCACTGCCCTGTCTCACAAGGGTGGTGTTGTCATGAGGTGCTCAGATACTGTGGCAATAGTAACCAGGTAGGGGACAGCTTCTCAGATAATAAGAGCCCCGTAGCAGTGTTCACTTCAGTGGAGCAAAGGCAGTTTACACCCACTGAGGATCTCGTTCAAAGACTTTGCTAGAACTACTTACAGAGTATGGTAGGAAGAGTAAGGGGAATAGACCGTGGGTCTGCGAGGGGGTGGAGAGTATGTTTAGCAGTTGGAAATGGGAAGTGTTTTGTAGCTTATTTTGTATACAAATAAATGTGTGATCAAACGATTCTGAATCATACCTGTTTTCTTTATTTCTTGATAAGAAGGTTATCAACTGTACACCAGAGCAATGGTTTACAGAGATATAATCATGTACTACTAAGATGTTACTATCTACTTAAATAGAATCATAGAATCTACAAAGAAGGACCAGAAGGGACCTGTAAGATCGTAAAGTCCAGTCCCCTGCCACGGGCAGGAGGTAATTGGGCTCAAATGAGCTCAACAGGTGCTTGTCCAACCTTCTCTTGAACACCGAAATATAATTATGGTAAATTGATTACAGGATGGATCATAGCACCCACTGCTGGGTGATGTCTAAACAGACTTGACCAGACCAACCCGGTTGTTTTCCCTGTCAAAGACACTGTAGTACTCCCTGATGAATATATCTCCCAAGATCCACAGGCTCATGTCCGCTTCCTCAAAACTACTAGTGCAGCATTGTTGGTCAAGCTAGATTAGGACAAAAAGAACCCCCCAAAAATAATTGGTTAGTTAGTCTTATTTGTTTCCAAAGGAGTTGGTTCTTTCACTGTAATTCCCAACAGCTTTATTAAGTCAAGTTTTACAGGGCAAAATTCTCCCACTGGCTCCGACTAGAGCAGCAATTGGCAGTATTCGTTAGCAGCCGGCTGGAATGACCCAGCTTGGGTCTGACACAGGCTGGTGCTAGGACCTGGCTGTGGACATTACTTTCTTCCCCTTACTGTGGCACAGCAGAAGCTCCCACTGCCTGGCCATGGCATGGGGAAAGCCCCTCCGCCATCAGAATCCCACCAAAGCCTCCCAGCTCCATGGGCAGGTTCCTGTAGATCCACAGGCCGATCGTAGCCCACAGGCCATAGGTTGCCAACCCCTGTGCTAGTTATTGGAAGAGCCTTAAGGAGCCATTGTGGCTGGAATACCAGCAGGGATTTAAAGCCTTAGAAATATAGCAGAGCAGATCATCAAGCCATCATCATGTCTACTTTCTGCCTCAAGGCAGGGTAAAACTAGATGAAGGTTAGCCTCAATGGATGGTTGTCTAACTTGTTCTTAAAACCATAAACAATGGATATTTCACACCATCTCTAGGTAGTCTGTTCTCATGCATTTTTTTTGGTTAAAGAGTGTTTCCAAATATCTAGCTCAAATCTTCTTTTCTTGGAATTATACCAATTATTTCTTGGCCTGTCTCCCTGAAGAACCTCCTAATACCACCCTCTTGCATATTGAAGAGCTGTCCCCTCTTTGCTAAACTACAAAAGCCCACTTCTTTCAAGTTTTCCCCATAGGTCCTATGTTCTAAACCTCTTAGGGTCTTTGTTGCTCTCGTCTGGACTCTCTGTAGCTTGTCTTCTTGAAGTACAATGTGCAGACCTAGACACAAGACACCTACTGATGCCTCATCACCACTGAGCTGAGCAGAACAACTCCGCTTCCTGTCTTACATAAGATAGTGCTAATACATTCCTCAGGCAGTAGGTCAGACCTCTCCTAGCAAACCTGATACAAAGCCTCCTAATGTCAGTGTTTCTATTGATTTCAGAAGACTTTGGATCAGGCTACTAACTCCTTATCCCCAAAGCCTTCCCTCAAGAATGCTCCTTGCTCTGCTCCCCAAGCCCTTCCCCCTGAGCAGCTGTGCAATGGGAGGGGGCAGCTGAGCTGAGACTGAACCCAGTCCATTTAGCTGTGCCCCACCGTGCTATTGTGTCCCATGAAGAAAGGCTCCATATCATACCTGCTCAGTGTAGGCTGAAGGAGGCAGAGGGAACTGGATCCCATTGATTATGAAGATGATATCAGGCATGCTGGGAATGTCATTGCAGTTGACATTATACCACAGAGGACTGGAAAAAAAGAGAGAATCTAGTTATGAAAGAAACAACATGGTCATTTTACAAGGCAAAAAAAGAGTAGAGGGGGCAGTCTGAGAAGCTAAGTGGTCTGGGGGGTGGGTAGTACTTGGATGGGAGACCACCCTGGAATCCTGTATTTGTAACAAGGAGTCATGGCTGAATGCTTTGAGAAGAGTAAATTATAGAAACCTAATGAGTAGCAAGACTAAATTTGATCCCACCGTCACTGCTGAGAAATAGATGGAACTAGGCAGAGTTTGGATTTAGGTTGTTTGGGCTATAAATTAGGCAGGCATTTGGTTGAAGACAGAATTGGTTTTCTCCAAAGTTCATTCAACCGCAGCCGAGATAATTATTGACTAAAGTTTCGCTCTCCTTACCTTATCTCCATAATTGTGTCCAAATTGCTTAAAGCACATGGCCACTTCAAAGATAATGTAAAGACTTCTAGGGTTGACCTATTGTATTTGGCTCCCTACCTATTAGCATTCTCAGATCAATTAACACCTTGCAAGGCAGAGGTCTGAAAGGGAATTTGAAATAAGCATGTACAAACATTAGCACTCAAAAAGAGTTAAAAAGGAGAATACTTCAAACCTCATATTAGGATGAAGGACATTTTCTATATCAAACAGAATTTCTAGAAGTTTAGACATTTGATATAGACCTCACCAAGTTCCAGGTCTTCACGGGATAGCCATCCCTCTTCACAAGATATGGTACAAGCAGGACTAAAAATGTCAGAAAAGAGGCTCCTAAGAATAGAAGTCTAGCCCACTGCAAAGATTTGTAAACAGCAGGGAAAACCTCTAAGGGCATTTCAAATGAATTCACCATGCCAGCATATATAATGCAAATTTATTGCAATGTAAAAGTTAATTTTCTTTTCACCTACCCCATCAGCCCTAGTCATGTGTACAGCAAGCCTTCCATAAATTGGGATATTGCAAGAACAAGTGGCAGTGATATTGGAGAAAGTGAACTGAAACAGAAACCCAATCCCAAACAGAATCCCTATCTCCTTAAAGTGTGTTAGAGAGCTAAATTAAAAGTGAGACATTCCTGTCCCAGAGCTGCCAACCATGGGGAAAAGATGCCATTTTACATTCCCCTGGTATTTAAATGCCAGAAGAGATTGGTAAATAACTAAGCCTGACCTGTATGATTTTACCTTGTTATCTGTCCATCCCTTTAATGAACTTGTGATCAGTTAAAACAGGAATTTCCAATATCTGATATCTTCTGCCCATTGCTTCTCATATTCTCCTTAATGTTTACCTGATCCTCTTCTTGCTCTGACGAGAGCTGGTTTCTAGACTTCAGAACAAGTACTTGACAAAATAAAATAAGCAATATGTGTATACCTTTGATCTATGTATCTGAAAAGCCACTACAAACACCCGAACAGAGTATGAGACCCTAGCAAGGGTAGCTAGGAGAAAAACCTACGATGGAAGGATAGATAGCAGAGCTCTGAAGGATGACTAGATAACAGACCTCATTCTTATTCATCTGGCCATGCTGCCTCTATGATGGAACAAGCCACACGCATGTGGTTCAGCTAACCTTGCTCTAACATATTGCCCCTCTCTAGAATACAAATCTGTTCTAGATCAAAATCTAGAAACAAATCCCACATCTTAATGCCTGTCACCCCAATTGCTACCTGAGAAGCTATAGTGTAACCATTGAGGGGTGACCAGAGCAGCAGCCCCAGGCAACAACTTGGGGGCAGGAGGCATGGCAAGATTAACAGCTGCTGCCACTGCCAGATGACTGCACCCCTGGTAACCTGTGGTCACCGCTGCCCTGTGCCCTGCTGCTGCCCAGAGCACATAGTTACCCTGGTAGTTGGAAGAACGTCTTCTGTCTGCCCTTCGCTATTACAGAGAACTGAGCTGCAAACAAAGGATCTGATAGCATGTACTGCCACAATGAGATTAGGATATTTGCTGTCTCTTTTTGGTGGCAAGAATGAAACGGGTCAATTTGCAGATACCAGTCCCTGTGGAGATGGTCCAGCTCCCCAGTGTCGCCTGTTATTATCACAGAATCACACCGTAGAGTCAGATGCAAACACTGAAAAAAGTGACCCTCAAGCAAAGGCAACACCATGTAGCCCTTACCCAGCAATATAGGGAACATTAAAAAGGGATTTACATAATTTACATATGTCAATATAAAAAATGCTGATAATAGCAGAAGGCATCAGATTGCCTTTGTTACTTAGAGGAAGGAAAGAAGGAAATGGCTTTAAGGGGGCAGTCCCGCATTATCTGTCACCTGAGGAACTAGGATTGGGTATTGTGATGAACAGTATTTTTTTCTGAATAAGGGACAGGCCTCTGTGGTGGGTTGTTTGCTGTGGCGTTAGAGTCCATAGAGTTTTCCGAGGAAGCAGGAGGGAAGTGGAAAACACAGATTCAGATAAAAATAATCCCCCGAAACACTAACATTTCATAGTCAGGTTCCTAGCTTTGATGAGATGGGTTCTTGAAAAGCTGAAAAGAGAGATGAAAGGGAACTTAAAGCTACCTGAGACTGGGGACGGTCTGCTGTCAGGGTGTGGGACATTGCTCCCTGCCCACAGGAGCTGCCTGCTGCTGGGGCAGGCTTTGCCACTGGAGTTCAGGCAGGCACAATGTCCACTTGCCTTGGCAGCAGGGAGCTCCCAACCACTGCTCTGCAACTGTAAGACTGAGGTTGGGAGAACCTTATCTCCCAGTCTGAGCCCTGTGGTCACAGGACCCATGCTGGGTGAGCCTGACCTCCCAGTGCCAGCTCCGCGGGGCCAGTACGAGGAGATTCTTATATCCCAGTCTGTGGTCATGGAGTTGGTGCTGGGAAACAAGGATCTCCCAGCCTGGGTCTTGCAACCACAGTGCTTGGGCTGGGAGATAAGAAGCTCCTGGCCCTGTGATCGTGGAGCAGGGGTACTTGTCCCCACCCAGGCTCTGGTGGTAGAGCCCACCTGAAGCTGCAGTAGGCAGCTTATGGGGGTAGAGAGCAATCTCCCACCCCCTGCTGCCTGGGAGCACATTTGCTCCTGGTCTGCTCCAGGTCAGGTATGTTACTGTGCAGTTACTTATCATGGGTAAATTTGCATCTGCAGGTAGCAGATTTACTTATGATTATAGCCGAATTCTGCATAGTAAGC